TTCCCTGATTGATCGCCCTCGCATTCTCGTCTCAGGGCCGTGCTCGCCCCCTCCCCCCCTCGGCCCCTCCTGCGGGGCAGGCTCTCGCCGCCGAGCGCCGGAGTCATCTCGAGGAGCCTCGAGGGGAGCCTCCCGAGCCAGATCTGGCCCGCAAGAGCGCCCGCGCGAGGCCGACCAGCTTGCACGGGGAACGGCCGTCCGAGCGATGGCGAGGTCCTGGGAGAGGCCCCGGGGGAAGTGGCGGCCCCAGGCATCCGGCGACGTGGTTTCCTCTGCTGCGCTGCCTCGGCGGCCCCCTCGCGCCACGAAAGAGCACTGCGATGGAAGGTCTGTTGCCCTTTCCGGCTTCTGGGGGCCCTTCCTGGGCCTCGGGGCCGTCAGAAGACCATTACTGGATGAGGAACGGGTCCCCGGGAGTGGGTCGAGGCCTCTCGGGGTGAACGTCATGACAGCATCGCGACGTCGGGAGTCCGGGCCAGAGGTCCCGACCCCTCTTCCTGGGCCCCGCCTCCTTGCCCAGGGCCCACTCTTCGTGGCCCGTGGGCCCGCAGGACCAGGCCTCCGAGGCCGAAGTCGAGGCAGCACGCCCAGACATCAGAAACCGTCACGGACTTGTGAAAGGCGCATGTCCTGCTCGCAACATGGGGCCGCCAGAAAGGCCAAAGTACCTCCCAAAGTAGGTTTTTGAATCGGCATTGAAGTATAGACCGAAGATGTGAAGTAGGCTTTGGAATAGGAATTGAATCTCCGATGTCGTCATTAGGTAGGTTTTGGAATAGGACTTGACTTGGAGATGTCGTCATCGTTTGTTCCACGCGCGGCCCCCGGAAGTCCCGAGCCTCTGCCCCAGGGCTGGCAGCCCCTGGCCGGGCGAGGGCGCCCGAAGGCTGAAGACGGCCGGAGGCCTCCGGTCTGGGGTAATTGGGACATCGGCGCTTCATTCGGGGGTGGACAGACCTCCTACCCTGACACGTCGATTCAGGAATTGGCCGTTTTCGGTTCGCGAGAGGGCGTCGCGGCCGTCATTTTTGCGGGTCCAGGTCGGCCGGTTTCGGTCCCAGGCCGTCTTCACCAAGGGGAGGCCTACTAAAGGGAGGTTTGTCCACCGCCGACTCTTGCAGGTTCTCTGGGGGTGTCCCAGACAGCCGTCGTTTGGGTTCCCTCGAAGCACGGAGCCCCCCGACCCCTCGACCACTTCCCTGGGGCCCCGAGACCCGGCGAGGGCCCTGTGGGGCCGAAGGCTGCGGAAAATTCGGCCCCGATGCTGTCTAGACGCCGAATGTATGAGTTTGAGCGGCGCCCCGATGATGACGACGACGATGACGATGACGATGACGATGACGATGACGATGACGATGACGATGACGATAACGATAACGATGACGATGATGATGATGATGATGATGATGATGATGATGATGATGATGATGATGATGATGATGATGATGATGATGATGATGATGATGATGATGATGATGATGATGATGGTACTGATACTGATGATACTGATGATGATGATGATACTGATGCTGATGCTGATGCTGATGCTGATGCTGGTAATGCTGATGCTGATGCTGATGCTGTTAATGTTGATGATGTTGATCATGCTAATGCTGATGCTGCTGATTATGATGATGATAATGCTGTTGCTGTGGCTGTTGCTAATGTTGATATTGATGCTGATGATGCTGATGCTGATGATGCTGATGCTGACGATGATGATGATGATGATGATGATGATGGTGGTGGTGATGGTGATGATGATGATAATGCTGACGATACTGATGATGATACTGATGCTGATGCTGATGCTGCTGATGATGATTACGATGATGGTGACGATGATGATGATGGTTGTGGTGATGATGATGATGATGATGATGACGATGATGATGGTGACGATGATCGTGACGCTGATGCCGATGCTGCTGCTGACGATGCTGATGGTGATGCTGATGATGATAATGATAATGCTGATGCTGATGTTGATGATTATGCTGATGCTGGTCATGCTGACGATGGTGACGATGATGCTGATGATGGTGATGATGATGATACGATAATGCTGATGCTGATCCTAATGATATCTATGCTGACGCTGATGATGATGACGATGATGATGCTGATGGTGATGACGATGATGATTACGATGATGGCGGTGATTGTGATGATGATATATAACAGTAGAAATAATAAAAATGATGGTGTTGATGATGATGATGATGATGATGATGATGATGATGATGATGATGATGATGATGATGATGATGATGCTCATGATAGTGATGATGAGCATGATGATGCTGATGATGCTGATGATGCTGATGATGATGCTGATGATGCTGAAAATTATGATGATTGTGATGATGATGATGATGATGATGCCGATGATGATGATGATGATGATGATGATGATGATGATGATGATGACAATGATGATGATGATGATGATGATGATGATGATGATGATGATGATGGTGATGCTGTTGATGATAATGATGATGGTGATGATCATGATGCTGATGATGATGACGATGCTGCTGATGATGATGAAAATGATGAAACTGGTGATGATGCTGATGATGATGGTGATGATGCTGCGGATGCTGATGCTGACGCTGCTGCTGACGGTGGTGGTGATGATGCTGATGCTGATGCTGGTTAAGTTGTTGAGGATGATGATGATGATGATGATGATGATGATGATGATGATGATGATGATGATGATGATGGTTGGGATTATGATTATGCTGTTCCTGCTGATTCTGGTGATGTTGATGTTGAGGCTGATTCCAAGGATGATGGTGATGACGATGCTGATGATGATGATGACGATGGTGATGCTGATGCTGATGCTGATGATGCTGATGATGACGATGATGATGGTGATGATGATGAGTCATGATGGTGATGATGATGCTGGTGATGGTGATGATGATGATGTGACGATGGTGATGAGGATGTTGACCATGATGCCCTTCTGATGATGATGATGATGATGATGGTGATGATGGTGACGATGATGATGAGGAGGATGATGAGGATGATGCTGACGATGACACGATGATGAAGGTGATGATGCGAATGATGATGATGATGATGACGATGATGATGCTGATGGTGATGGTGATGATGGTGATGATGATGGTGCTGATGATGAGGATGAAGCTGAGGATGAGGATGATGATGCAGATGATGATGGTGATCATAACGATGATGCTGATGCTGATGCTGATGCTGATACTGATGCTGCTGATGATTATGATAATATGGTGGTGGTGACGATGACCATGACGATGATGATGTTGACGATGATGATGGCGATGATGATGATGGTGGTGATGATGATGGTGCTGGTAGTGCTGGTGGTGATGATGATAAGGGTGATGCTGATGGTGATTATGGTGATAGCGATGATGATGATGATGATGATGATACTGATACTGATACGGATGCGAATGATAATGATGATGATGATGAGGACAATGCTGACGATGATGATGACGACAATGATGATGGTGGTGCTGATGCTGATGCTGATGTTGATGGTGATGCTGATGCTGATGGTGATGCTTATGCTGATGCTGATGATGCTGGAAATGGTGGTTACGACGATGATGATGACGATGACGATCAGTGATGATCATGGTGGTGATGATGTTGCTGGTGGTGATGATGATGCTGGTGGTGATGATGATGAGGATGATTGTGATGGTGATGGTGGTGGTGGTGATGATGATAGTGATGGTGATGATGATGATGATGGTCATGATGATGATGCTTATGGTGATGGTGATGGTGACGATGGTGACGATGATGATGCTGATGGTGATGATGGTGATGATGGTGATGATCACGATGATGACGGTGGTTGTGGAAGTGGTCTTGGTGATGTTGATAGTACTTGTGATGATGATGGTGTTGTTGATGATCATGATGCTGATGATGACGATGATGATGCCAATGATGAAAATAATGATGATGATGTTGATGATGATGGTGATGATGGTGATGATGATGATGATGATGATGCTGCTGATGCTGATGCTGATGATGATGGTGATGCTGATGATGATGATGATGATGATGATGATGATGATGATGGTGATGCTGATGATGATGATGATGATGATGATGATGATGATGATGATGATGATGATGATGATGATGATGATGATGATGATGATGATGATGATGATGATGATGGTGGTGATGATGATGATGATGATGATGATGACGATGATGATCCCCCCTGTGGAATGGCGTGCGTCGCACAACCCCCGCTCTGGGCAGGGGAAGGCACCCAAGCTCGCGATGCGACCCGGACCCGCACGACAGCTGGGAGCGCCGGGGCAATCCCAGGAGCAGCACGGGGACAGCGGCACCCCTTGGGCAAGCCGAAGGGGCCGCCGCCCGCCCAGGATGCACCACGGGGATCGGGCCCTCCCCGACCCCTCGCGCCCGACGCCGCGGCCTCGCTCCGCCCGCCCGACGCCGCGGCCTCGCGCCGCTCTCGGGAGCAGCTCCGCGGCCGCCCTCGGACCGCCAGGCGAGCGGGCTCCCCCAGGCGCCGCGCTCCTCCCTGGGCGGGGCCCCTCGTCGGAGACGGCGCAGCCCCTCCAGCTGGCGCTCCGACGCTCGGCGCAGGCAGGGCTCGGCCAGCCCCGCCACGCGCACCGAGCCAGCGCTGCAAGCGCACACGCTGCAAGCGCGACCGCCGGGCCCGCGCGCAGCGGGGTGTGCGAGCCGTGGAGCTCCGCACTCCACCAGGCAGGCTGCCCCGGCCGCCGCTGGGCCTACACCATTGGGGCCTCCGCTCCAGCGGCGCGCTCCCGACCTCGGCCGCGGCCTCCGCCGCGGCCGCGGCCTCGCCGTCCTGGCCCCGGCGGGGCGGGGGGGGCAGAGGCGCCTCGGCGGCGGCTGGCACCTCCGCTTCGGCGGATCCTCCAGCCAGCGATCCCTCTGCCAGCGGCGCCCCCCCTCTGCCTCGGCGGCCCCTCCTCGCCGCCCCCGCCACCGCCCTCGGCCTCGCCGCGAGGGCGTGCCGCCAGCGCGGCGGCCGCCAAGGCGAGAACGGCTGCTCCCGCCGCTCCTGCGCCGTCGCCCGAGCCTCTGCTGCGGGCGGCCGTTCGGCCCCCCTGCACGAGGGCGCATGCGGCGGCGCAGACCCCGCAGCTCCAGCAGACCGTCTCGCCCAGAAGCAGCGCCGTGCCATGGCGGTCGCAGGCGCGGAAGGCGCAGTCGGGCCCGCCGACCCCGCAGGCTGCCACTGGACGCTGTCGGCAGCCCGCCCAAGCCCACCTGATCGCCTCAAGGCCAGGCGCCTCGAACCCGTCGGGCGCCCGCAGCAGCGAGTCGCCCTCCTGCATGGCCTCGCCCAGCCAGTCGGAGACGCTCTCCACGATGTCGAGCCACGCTTGCGGGACGCCGTGGAGAGCGGCTGCCTCCTGGCTTGCGGATGCGGTCCGCGCTGGCGTTGCCCGCGCGCTGCCTGTCCGTGATGAGGCCGTCGCGGACGTGCTGCTCCGTCGCGTGCGCTTTCACCTTCCAAACTTGCACCACGGTGTCACCGTGTAGTCCTCGCCGAGATGCCCGAACTGCAACCACAGCCCGCGGCAGGGCCGACCCCACTCCAGACACCAGCGCTTGCCGAAGGCCCAGCCGTCGTGCACCATCGCCGAGTCGGTGTAGAGGGTGAGCGGCCCGACGCCGCCTCGCAGGGCCTCCACTGCCGCCTGCAGCTCCCCGGCCGCTGTCCTGGGAGGGCGGCCAGGCCACGTTTCCCCACGCCGAGCTGCTCTCCGAATCGTCAGCCCCCCACGTCGTGACCGCCGCCCAGCCCGCGCGCGCAAGCACCTTGGCCGTGGAGCGGAAGGCGGAGCCGTCGAGGAAGATCTCGCGCACGAAGACGGACTTTGGGTGCGAGCCCGAGCGTCTCACCAGCGTGCGAGCGAAAGGCAGCGGCGCCTCGGCTCGCGGGTCGGGCACCAGCCCTCGGGACCAGATGTGTTGCTTCTGGCTTGTGTCGGGTTCCGCCGTCTGCTGCCGAGGCCCGTCGAGTGTTGAGCAGCGCCAAGCCAGGTGTCGGACCGTAGCCGCCTCGTCGCATCCCCACGGGCAGCGGATGGTGGTGGTGGCGATGTTGATGTTGACGTTGATGTTGTTGTTGTTGCTGATGACGACGATGATGATGGTGATGGTGATGACGATGTCGATGTCGATGGTGATGATGAGGATGAGGATGAGGATGATGATGATGCTGATGCTGATAATGATGCTGGTGATGATGATTAAGAAGATGATGATAATGATGGTGACGGTGATGATGACGACGACCACGACGGCGATGATGATGGTGATGGTGATGATGATGGTGATGATGATGATGATGATGATGATGATGATGATGATGATGATGGTGGTGGTGGTTCTGGTGGTGGTAGTGGTGGTCATCATGGTGGTGATGATGATGATCATGGTGATCATGATGCCGATGCCGATGCCGATGATGCTGATGATGCTGATGCTGCTGCTGCTGCTGATGATGATGATGATGATGATGATGATGATGATGATGATGATGGTAGTGGGGGTGATGATGATGCTGCTGCTGCTGCTGATGATGATGATGATGATGATGATGATGATGATGATGATGATGATGATGATGATGATGATGATGATGATGATGATGATGATGATGATGATGATGATGATGATGATGATGATGATGTGATTGTCTGTCGCGCTGCTGAAATACGTCGTATTTCATGACAAGGCAGAATGTTGGGCGGCACCGATCTCAACGTCCAGGTCCCTGGGATCTTGCCAGCGCCACGGGGTTTCACATCGGCGCCCCGCAGGTGAAACCAGGCGAAAAACGCTCTGTCAAACGCCAGGATCTCAGGGCCCCATCGCCGCCCCTTGCCCCCTGCACGTTCGGACGTGGCCAGAACAATGCAGCATCGCAGGAACGCACGTACAAAAGGTTGTAGAAGGGGGTCCAAGAAGCTTCAATAGGGCAGGACTTGCACCGATGGCGCCATGGACGACAGAAGCAGTACCCTCTGTAATCTTCTGCCCCATTTAGAGTTGTGGGCAAACTCGAATACTGCCTTGCCGTGACCCGCGGAGTCAGAAATTTTAGAGCAAAAAAACAATCACCACCCGAGATCTTTCTGCGTCACTCTTGGAGCCGGATCGATCTGCCAGGGCCCTGGGCCCCGCACTCGGGGGAAGACGTCCACCCGCTGTGAGCAGGTAGCGGCGCCCGGATCCCCAGACCCCCGACGTCGTGACTTGTTCGCGACGTCGGCCCCCAGAGGTCTGGACCCTTTCCCCGGGACCGGCTTCTCATCCTGACTCGTTTTGTTGACGGTCCTGATGCCCGGCGAGGCCCCCTGGAGGCCGAAAATGGCGAACAACCTCCCGTCGTGATTTTCGTCACCGCGCCAGGGGGGTCTGCGTCTGCGGCGCGAGGCCTGGGCGCCGCCCGGCCCCCCGCAGGTTCGGCGACCTCCCGGCGCCGCCCACGCTGCCGCCCGGCGGCGCCCCGGCGGCTGGCCCGGGGGCGCGCTCGAGGGCGCCGCCCGAGCGGGCGGCGGGCCGCGCCGCCGCCGGCCCCGCGGCCGCCGCGGGCGGGGACGACATGTTCACGCCGGCGGCCTCCAGGCGCTGGGGGGGGGGGGGCGTCGTTGCTCTCGTTGCTGTCGTTGTCGCTGCCGTCGTGGTCGTCGTTGCCGTCGTGGGTATCGTTGGTATCGTTGCTGTCGTTGTTGTCGTTGGCATCGTTAGTATCGTTGTCATCGTTGTTATCGCTGTCGTTGTTACCGTTGTTATCGTTGTTATCGTTGTTATCGTTGTCGGGGGCGGCGTCGGAGGGGGAGGGCAGCTGGGCTCGGGAGGACTTGAGGCAATACTCGAAGAAGAAGGTACGTCATAAACATAACTTTTGGCGCTCCGCGCGGATTTTTGGGATCCGCGCGGGGGCCCCCCGCGAGCCAGGGAGGGGGGCTCCAGCGCGGAGCGCCAGAAGTTTATCTTCACGGCGACTTTTTTCTCTTCCAGTTGGTGGGCCCAGGTCTCTGGTGTCGCCACCCCGGAGGGCACGGTGGCCCCGCCGGAGCCGAATCCTCTGGGGTGCGGCGCGCCTTGGATTCCATTCATCGTCTGGTGTGCGGCGCGCCCTGGGTTAACAAATCCTCTGGTGTGCTTGCTCTGCGGTGCACCGTCGCACGACTGTAGATAGTGCTACCAGATCCGAGCTTTCGTACCGGAAAGAATGCGTGGGCTCTGGTGAGGCAGTAGCCAGAACATGTTTTAGATAAAAGTGCTCGGATACGGATGCCAAGACCTATTCATCGACAGGGCTGGGCATCCCAGCTCCCGCCTCACCAACGAGCCTCGGGGAGACACAATGGCGGTGCAGTGGGGCCGCACCTTTCCTGGGCAAGTGGAGGCAGGACCGCCGGCCTGTCTGCCAGGCTATGTCCTGGAGGTCCGTACCTCAGGCGTGCGAGGGTGGAGAGAGTTCACAGGACAGAACGGCATTGCCGCCCGTCTGTGTCCCGGAGGTCGATGCCTCGCGAATGGGCTATATGTTCAGGCCCGCCGGCCTAGTCACCAGGTTGTGACTTGAATGTGAGTGCCTCTTGTGCGCGTGTGTGGAGAGTAGACAGGACCGCCAGCGTTGCCGCCTGGCTGTGTCCTGGAGGTCGGTACCTCAGGTGCGCATCTGTGGAATGAAAGCAGAACTGCCGGCATTGCCGCCGGGCAGTGTCCTGGAGGCCAGCACACCTGCTGGCCCCTTGTCACTGTCGCCCCGCTGCTCACTCCACTGGGGGCTCCCCTGGGGTGCTCGTCGGGTGTGGCACCCCGCACCTTTAGTGGCGCCATGCGTCCCCAGCCGACTCCCCCAGAGGAGTATCGAGCAGCACTGGCACGGGGCTGGGCTTGGGAGGAGCAGGAGCAGGAGGGGGAGGGGGAACAGGAGGGGAGAGGGAGGGAGGAGGGAAGTAGGGAGGCAGGGAGGACGAGGAGGAGGAGGAAGAGGAGGAGGAGGAGGAGGAGGAGGAGGAGGAGGAGGAGGAGGAGGAGGAGGAGGAGGAGGAGGGAGGGAGGGAGGGAGGGAGGGAGGGAGGGAGGCAGGGGGGGCGAGGAGGGGGGTCGTGAGGAGGAGGAGGAGGAGGAGGAGGAGGAGCAAGGAGCGGGGGGGAGGGAGCATGGGGGCGGGGCATTTGGGCTCGGTGGGGGGAGCGCACCGACCCCCTCACCGCCCCTTGGTGGCATCGCCCCTGTCCCTGCATGGTGTCTCCTCTTTCCCTCCGTTGTGTCTCTTCTTTCTCCCTGCTGTGTCTCCTCTTCCCATGCGTTGCGGATTCATTGGCCTGGCCATTCGGGCCAGAGGGGTGCCGTCAGGGGGGTTACGCAATTCATTGGGCTCAGGGGGAGCGCCTCGGCCCCCACATCACACACCCATCGCCGACGCAGCCGTGTGTCTGAAGCAGGGGCCCCTTTGAGGGTTCAGGGGGGGGCTCCGGTGCCCGGGGTGCTCCTCAAGCCAACGTCGGGAAGAGCGCCTCGACCCCCACATCACGCACCCATCGCCGACGCAGCCACGAGTCTGAAGCAGGGGCCCCTTTGAGGGCTCCGTGGGGGCTCCGGTTCCCGGGGTGCTCCTCAGTCCAAGGTCGGGTGTTGCTAGAAGTGCCCCTGGCCCAAGGTGCCCCCAGCTTTTCGCTCCATTGTGGAGCCCCTGGGGCCCTCTGGGCCTCGTGAGGGGTGCCCTGGAGGCCGTCTGGGCCACTCCGAGAATCCTGGGGGCACCTTGGGCCAGGGGTACTTCTAGCAACACCCGACCAAGGTCGGGGGGCCTGTCAGTGGCCGAGGCTCGCCGTGGCCAGGATAGCCCATCGGTGGTCTCTTTCGCGCGCCGGTGTCGGCGATGCGTCGACGATGCCGAGTCGATGGTCTCAGACCCCCGACGTAAGGGCCCACAGAGGCTGGAAATAGCAACAAAAGCACCTCTCGTCGTTATTGTTTCACGCCCCGAGGGGATCTGAGCTTTCCCCAGCGGTGGTCTCTTTGGCGCGCCGATGTCGGCGATGCGTCGAAGATGCCAAGTCGATTGTCTCAGACCCCCGACGACAGGCTTTTCAGAACTTCGACTCACCCCCAGGGGTCTCGACCCAATCCCCAGGGGCCGGCTTTTCATCCCGAGTCGTTGTTTGACGGTCCCGAGGCCCAGTAAGGGCTCACAGACGTCGTTATTGTTTCACGCCTCGAGGGGATCTGAGTTTCCCCCAGAATATCTTCAGGCGTTTCTCCGGACATCTGCTAATATTGTGTATGATTCTCCATGCCGCTCCAAAGAGGCACTGCAAGATATATCCCGCGACACGGCCAAACAGTCTCACTTCAAGTTGTCGTTCGAGAAATCATTCCCCCAAAGAGGCACTGCATGACATAATTCCGCGACACGGCCAGACAATATTTCTTGCAAGAATAACGCATGTCGTTCGAGAAGACAATGATTATCCCTCCCCCCTGGGCCAGCCCCCTCCCCTGAGCCCATCCCCCCCCCTCGAGCCGCGCGAATTGAGCTGGGCGAATCGAGCCGGGCGAATGGAGACTCGGCGAATCGATCCGGGCGAATGGAGCCAGGCGAATCGAGACTCGGGCGAATCAAGCCTACGCCTCCCCTGAGCCCATGCCCCCCCTCCTTCGCCACTCCCCCTGAAGTGTGCGCGTGCGCAGAGGGCACACTTCGCCCGAGCAGGGCGGCGGCGACGACTGCGGCGGGAATGGACGTCCGAGCGATGGCGAGGAGACGGACTCCCCCCGCGCAGGCGCCTGGCGCCCCCGCTGCTGGCCGCCAGCTGGGCCCCCGCGCCCGCGGCGGCGCCACAGGCGGCGCCGCAGGCGGGCGCCGCGGAGGAGCTCAAGGACCTGGACCAGCTCTTCTCCGC